TCTGGACTTTTGTGGCCACTTCATGTCAGGATCTTCATGTGCCAAATGTCAGTGTTTTCTTTTGGTTTTCTTTTTTTTTTTATTTCTTGTCTACTCTCACTAGCAAATCTAGTGCAGAACCAGGTGTACAAATCTTACCATCATGTGTTGTAAGTACCCGTGGAATGGATTTGTAAGGTAATCTTTATAGATCAACCTCAAACAACAATTCATGTTGTAACAGCTTCATTTGGTTTAGTTTTCAAAAAACTTCACCATGAAGCACAATGTATATATGCAGTTTTTAAAATTTATAACAGTCTGTTTGGCCATTACTACACTTTTTACTTTATAATATAAAAAAGAGCAACATTTTTGTCATTAAATGAATGTTTGTTGAGCTACGTTCTTCATTGCTTTAAATGCAATAAAGTAATAATCTCACTTTTATATGAATAATATATTTCACATCTTTATTATTGCAGTTTTATCTTGGAAGCTCATGGTGGCTTTCTCTGCTGCAGCTCTGTATAAAATATTTAAAATGTTGTATGGTGTAAATAAACTTTTGTCTACAGCTTTGTTCCCTTTGTCTTCTGTGAAATATTATCTTTGTTTGCAGGCTGGAAGAAACTCATTTTTTAAGTTTGTCAGAAACATTTGATGGGATAGCCAGCTTTTACTTTAATGTGAATATATGCTTCAAACTTTAGGTGTTACAGAAGAAGAAGTATATTTTTGCTACCCCCCACCCATTTGCATTTATTGCCTAGTCATAATCAGAATATTGATGCATTCAAAAGAAAATACATTTATGCAATTGTTATATTTGAAAATATAAATGAAGAAATGTTAAACCTATATTTTAAAGAAAAGCAAATTAGTTCATGGAAATTATATTTTTGATGCTTAGATATATGTGAATGTGAACAGCTTAATGTAAATACTATTGTCAATATGTGTTAATAATGTATAAACTTTGTTCCTGTTAAACGTTTTTAGCTGTATCTGCATTGAGACTGGTGCACTCGGTTATTAAATATGCACATTGTGCTTCCTAAATAGGATCACCCAGCATAACACATAATCCTGACTACTCCTATCTAGGTGCAAAGTTTATGGAAGGTTCTAGCCATGGAGCTAGTGTTCCATTGAAGGCTGTGCAACTGCTTTCATTGGAAAGTGTCTTATAGACTCTAGCATATAATGCTTTGGAAGTTTGTCCTGAGTCTGATGCTATCACATTCAAAGTAATCTGACAGTGTGACTTCTAATGACTGCTATTTGAACTTCGAATATTATTTAAAAAATCAGACAATACAATTGTTAATCATGTTAAATATTTGTCTTAAACATCATGGCAGGGTAAAGAAAGGTACCTAGAAAATAGAAACTATTTCCTTAAATTGTATTATAATGAAAACCATAGAGTGGTAGATTATTTATCTCTTGCTCATTAAAGGAGAGCTCTGCTATTGGTATCTAGATTGCAAATTACTTGGTAATATCTGAATTACCTCTCCATAAATAGGTGTCCCAATAAAAATTGTTGAGAAACATGCTTTATGCCAAAGTGGGACCCTGTTCCTTCCTAGAAGTCATTGAATCCTAGATACCAAGGCCAAATTTAGCAGCATCATATGTGTCAGTTAATTTGAAAACTTGTCCACATAAATAATTTTTACAATTTTGAAGGCTTTTTTAAGCTTTTATTTGGTACACTGTTCCACTGTTCCTTTCTCTCTCTCTCTCTCTCTCTCTCTCTCTCTGTATATATATATATACACACACACACTATATTGCCAAAAGTATTGGGACACCCCTCATTGGATTTCCTTGCTACTAAATATTTCACGGTCAACTGTTAGTGGTATTATAACAAAGTGGAAGCAACTTGGAACAAGAGCAACTCAGCCGCGAAGTGGTAGGCCACGCAAAATGACAGAGCAGGGTCAGCACATCCTGAAGCGCACAGTGCGCAGAAGTCGCCAACTGTCTGCAGAGTCAATTGCTAAAGACCTCCAAACTTCATGTGGCCTTAAGATTGGCACAACAACAGTGCGTAGGGAGCTTCATGGAATGGGTTTCCATGGACGAGCAGCTGCATCCAAGCCTTACAGGACCAAGTGCAATGCAAAGCGTTGGATGCAGTGGTGTAAAGTACACCACCACTGGACCCTAGTCTAGTGTAAAGTTTGGTGGAGGGGGGATTATGGTGTGGGGTTGTTTTTCAGGGGTTGGGCTTGGCCCCTTAGTTCTAATGAAGGGAACTCTTAAGGCATCAGGATACCAAGACATTTTGGACAATTTCATGCTCCCAACTTTGTGGGAATAGTTTGGGGATGGTCCCTTCCTGTTCCAACATGACTGTGCACCAGTGCACAAAGCAAAGTCCATAAAGACATGGATGAGCAAGTTTGGGGTGGAGGAACTTAACTGGCCTGCACTGAGTCCTGACCTAAACCCGATAGAACACCTTTGGGATGAATTAGAGCGGAGACTGCGAGCCAGGCCTTTCCATCCAACATCAGTACCTGACCTCACAATTGGGCTTTTGGAAGAATGTTCAAACATTCCCATAGACACACTCCTAAACTTTGTGGACAGAAGTTGTTATAGCTGCAAAGGGATGAGGTGGGGCCTCCAGACTTGTTTTTCAAGCACATCCCATGGATGCTTGATTGAGATCTGGGGAATTTGGAGGCCAAGTCAACACCTTGAACACATTGTTGTGTTGCTCAAACCATTCTTGAACCATTTTTGTATTATGGCAGAGTGTATTATCCTGCTAAAAGAGGCCACTGCTATCAGGGAATAATGTTTCCATGAAGGGGTGTACTTGGCCAAAATCAATGTTTGGGTAGGTGGTACATGTCAAAGAAGCATCCCCATGAATGGCAGGTCCCAAGGTTTCCCAGAAGGACATTTCCCAAAGCATCACACTGCCTCTGCCAGCTTGCCTTCTTCCCATAGTGCATCCTGGTGCCATCTCTTATCTAGGTAAGCGACACACGTGCACCCAATCATCATGATGTAAAAGAAAACATGATTCATCAGAACAGTGCACCTTCTTCCATTTCTCTGTGGTCTAGTTGTGATGCTCACGTACCCATTGTAGGTGCTTTTGCCAGTGGACATGGGTCAGCATAGGCACCCTGACGGATTTGTGGCAACGCAGACCCATACACAACAAATTGCAATGCACTGTGTGTTCAGAAAGCTTACTATCAGTACCAGCATTAACGTTTTCAACAATTTGAGCTGCAGTCATTCTTCTAATGGATCAGACTATACAGCCCAGTCCCATTTGTAATAATAAGCCTTGGCCGCCCATAATCCTGTAGCCACTTAACCAGTTTTCCTTCTTTGGACCCCTTTTGGTAGGTCCTGACCACTGCAGACTGGGAACATCCCACAAGAGCTGCAGTTTTGGAGTTGCTCTAACCCAGTTGTCTAGCCATCACAATTTGCCATTATCAAAACCTCTCAAATCCTTACACTTCCATTTTTTCTACATCCAACACATCAACTTCAGGGACAAAATGTTCACTTGCTGCCTTATATATCCCACCCACTTCCAGGTGCCATCATAATGAGATAATACATTTTATTCACTTCACCTGTCAGTGGTCATAATGTTATGGCTGTTCAGTGTATACATTGTATATATTGTGACGTTGGGGAATGTAGCACAAATGGTGAGATTATACACATATGTGTATATATATACATACATACACATAACAATTTTTTTGCTATTATTGTACTTTGTACCACTATCTGACAATTACAATATTAAACAGATGCATGCTGTCATTTTAAGGCTGCAGTAGCACCTGTAGGTTGAATGTTTTTCATTTTTTTATGTCAGTAAACCCTCCCGTATGCATTTGATCATTATCATGACTATGACTTATGAATCATATGATCAAATGACCCACTCTGATTTGTTCCTGATTGCTAGTGGTAACTAACATTGTCAGTGACAGCCAAGTCTGACATCTAATAGCTAAGCACAGTGTGGACTATTAGCTATCAAAAGGGGAACATAGATTAATAATCCCTCAGGATGAGGCATTGTGCAGGGCAATATTAATCTACAGATTGTAAAGGGGAAGTGGTTTATGCAACTTCTTCCTTTGTCAATGTTTGCAGAATACACCTGCAAACATTAACTAATCAATGCATAACCAGTTAAAATAAAAAAAACCTCTGCTCTAGTCCGTACACACATGTTCTTCCATTGGGTGTGGTCACCTTGCCTCTTGAACAGCCTAAAGGAAGTGAAGCTAGACTTTCATATGAACCTGCATGTCAAAGAAATAGCTCACCTATGTGTCACTGCTCTCTGCACATATCAGAGGTCAGGAGGAGTGGCTAGAGGGCGAGCAGTTGACTACATTAAAATGTTGATATTAGTGTAGGTCTCAGCGCTGAAGGAGCCGCCAGAATAACCCGGGTCATCACTAGTTGTCTAGGGGACCTCACAAAAGGCGATGGGGGCTACATTAGTAACTACTGTTTTGTATACTTAGGCTACACATTTTAGGGAACAAAGGAGATTACAAGGATGTCACTATGTTTATTTGGTGAGAGAATATAAAGGTTAATTTTAATACTTATGTAGGTCATTTGGGTACTGTGGGTTTAAAGCCCTTCAATGACGAACCAGTTGCAATTTTCAGCACTGATGTATCTGACCGTTATGTATTAGTGACAGCATTTTCATTGTTGATTTATTGTATAGATTACATTTTTACAGCAGTAATTTTCTTCACACTGGTATTGGCATAATATTCATCATAATTATGAACAGTTAGAGCTTTCTAGGAGGTTTAGGCCAAGGTTTAGGTCTATGGATAAGTTAAGGGTTAGGTTTAAGAGTTAAACAACCACTATAATAGAAAAATATTGAACTCTGATAATTGCATGCTTTTAATGTAAAGATAGTATTTAATATCATTGAGTACTGTCCATGATACTTTTTTGTTTGCAGTAACAGTTACTTTTTCAGGACAAGCTTACAGGGCGTTCCCTTCTTCTTGGTACAAGCAGTGCTGATATACAAAGGTTTACAATATGTTAAGAAAACATTAACATTTTGTAAACCTTTCTGTATTAGTACTACTTGTACCAAGAAGAAGGGAACACCCCAAAAGCTTTTTAGTGCAATTAAAACTCTGTTCACCTTAAAATGTATTCCCACTTTCTCATCTAGATTGGGATAACAGCTATATTATATTTGTTACATGTTTCCATTCACATAACATAAGCTAAAGACAAATTTAAAATGCTACTCGCAGTTTAAATTGCTTTTACTTGGGTTAGGATTTCTTGGCTTCTTAAGAGTAAAGTTTCTACTTGTTCCCCCTTCTTTTGTAATGTTAGGAGGGGCTAAAGAATTACAACCCCGGCTTCTGCATTTACATGATAATGAAGTTTATTAGAGAAAAACAATTCTCAAATTTCAGCCCTAAGTCTTTCTATTAGGACAGATCACTGTGAATGTGATGAAAAAAACTTAGAATCACCCATGTTGCCTGTTGCAACAAAACATCTAAATTGTAAGAAATTTTTTTTAAGAAATTTTTTTTCGTTATGCTGTGTAAATAGGAACACATAGCAGAAATATAGAGGGTTTTTCTTAAATTTTACTATTTGAATGCAAAAATGGAAATACACTTTAAGCTCTTTTTTGATATAGGAACTCCTTTTTCTGTTTGAGGTGCAAAACATAAACCATATACCGCTATCAGAGAGTATTATATAAATTTATTTTAAATTGGTAAGGTTGAGGGTTTATGTTAACAGTTTCATTTAGAGACTAGGCTGAGGTTAATGGTAAGGTTAATGGTTAGGGTTAGTGTAGGTTTAAACTGGCTGCACTAACACAGGTTATACAATTCTAAGTTTTTAAACCTAAAAAAGTCATCATTGTAAACAACCAAATTGGGAATGATTTACATAACCATATGAGTGTACACCTATGAATCAATGTGTAGGTGGAACAGGCTAAACAAAATGATGGTAGTATCTTTGGACCAACAATCACAGACACACACACACACACACACACACACACACATTTATCTCAGCGTATATGCAGACTATCAAATGTGGCTTGCTAAGGGGTGCAGAACCGGATTAAAAGCATCATGGGCCTGGTGCTGAGGATTTCAGTGGGCCTTTTTATGGAAATGTTGACGGTCAGCTGGGCCCCGTTCCTCCTGTCCGGGCTGGGATTTGTAATCCCTCTACAGCAGGGGTCTCAAACTCAAATGACCCGGGGGCCACTGGGCACGTTTACTTCTGCCATGGGTGCCGCTTGCAAATTTTTAAACACAACATTGAACTATGTACACTACAGTACTAGATAGTGCTTGCTGTCCGTCACTGCTTACTGCCAGATGCTTGGCAGTGTTTGCTCTGAGTTAGATGAGCCAAGTCTGCCTTAAAGTGACATTAAACCCTCAGATTATTTAACATAAACCAATACTGTAATGTGCGCCTTACTGTGATCCATGGTTGTTTCCCTTCTCTTTGCTGCTCTTCCTTTTAAATCTGTATATGTTCTCATGCTTGGGGAGAACTTCTGTTTTGCAGCAGACTGCCCTGTCTCAGGAATGGATATATGGTGTCTGTGTATAGGCTTGTATAGGTTTGTAACCTGAGCCAGCACTACAGGAAGAGACCCTGAGCTGCAAAGGGAAGTTCTCCTCAAGCATGAGAAGACATGAGGATTTAAAGAGCAGCAAAGAGAAGGGAAACAACCATGGATTACAGTAAGGCACACATTACAGTATTGGTTTATGTTAAAAAATCTGAGGGTTTAATGTCACTTTAAGTGTGTTAGCAGTTGAGACCCTAATAACCACCTGGAGATGTGCATCTGTTAGCCTAGACCTGGTTTTAGATTTGTTAAAGTTCATAGTTGAGAATAATTTTTCACACAGGTATGTACTTCCAAATAAACACATGATCCGTTTGAATAGTTTGGACAGTTCTGGGAAGGTAGCTGGTAATTCTCTCAGAAATCGACTGATCATTTCTGCATTTCCCTGTGCATCTCGGAACTTGGCTTTGAGGTCAGTGCTGCATTGCAGATCTATAAGTTCCATTTGCAGCACATCAGGGGCACTGTTCACATCAAAAGAAAAGGGGTCAGCAAAAATCTGAAAGGTTGCATTGTGGCTAGTGAAGTCAGCAAATCGCTGATTAAATTCCCGTTGGAGATTTTCAATGGCAGCAACATACTGATCAACAGCAAACAGATAAATGTCTCCACCTTTTTCTTCAATTAGGGACTTGCCCATTGGAAAATGGCTGAGGTTTCTGTAGGTAAACTGTGTTTTCCATAACTGCAGCTTTATGGAGAATGCCTTCACATTGTCAAAAGCCACAGTGGTAAACTGATTTGGGCCTTGCAGTTTCAGATTGCGTTTGTTCAGCTCCTGTGTGATGTCAACCAAAATGCTAAGTCCATGACCCATTTGGGATCATCAAGCTCAAGAACATCCAGTCTTCCATCCATCAGAAATGTCCTGACTTCCTTCCTCAGTTCATAGAACCTCTTCAGGACATTGGCCCTACTTAGCCAGCGCACCTCTGTAAAGTACAGGACATCACCATACACTGCTCCTATTTGCTCCAAAAAAGCATGAAACTGGCGATGCTGTAAGCCCCTTGATCTGATGTAATTAATGCACTTCACCACAACTGGCATAACATTGTCAAATTTCAAGCATTTGCTGCAACGTGCCTGCTGATGAATAATTCAATGCAAAGCAATCGCAGGATCTGCATTCTCTTCTTCTAGTTTTCTTTGTATTAGCGCCACTAGGCCATTTTTCTTTCCAGTCATTGATGGGGCACCATCTGTGGTTATTCCAACCAGTCTATCCCAAGGTAGGCCAGCACTTTCAATTACATCACAGAGTTGCTGAAATATGTTGCTGCCTGTAGTCTTTCCCTGCATTGCAACTAAACTGAGCACCTCTTCAGTTACTTCAAAATGGTCATTAATTCCTCTGACAAATATAGCTAACTGAGCAGTGTCATTTATGTCAGTGCTCTCATAAAGAGCCAATGAATAAAAACAGAACTTTGTAGCCTTATTGCACAACTGCTCATAAATATTATGTGACAAATCACTGATCCTCTCCGCCACTGTATTTGGTGATAGGCTGATGTTTCGAAATAGATTTGCCTTCTCAGGACAAAAGATTTCAGCCACCTTTACCATACAATCTTTCAAAAGCTGACCGTCAGTGAATGGCTTTCCTGCTTTTGCAATCTGCTCACTCACCACATAGCTAGCCTCAACTGTGGCATCACATTCCTTTTTTGCTCGCTTGAAGAGGGTTTGCTGCATTTGCAGGCATTTCTGAAGCTGGGTAATTTGCGTCTCCCTTTCTTCTCCTTGGTACTTTGCATACTGGTCTGCATGTTTAGTAGTATAATGGTTATTAAGGTTATACTCTTTAAAAACAGCAACTTTTTAATTTCATATGAGGCAATTAGCATTGTTATTAACCTCCACACAAAAAAAATCACTTGTCCACCTCTTTTGAAAATTCCTTTGCTCAGCATCAACTTTTCTTTTTAATTTTAAAGCTGACATTATGGAGTATTATAGGGCCAAAGATTGTCTTTTGCCAGATGTAATTGTCTTTCACCTCCTCTTTTTGACAGTACTTTCAAGCTATGGAGATAATTAAAAAGAAAAATATAAATAACTGTATTCTCTATAAAACAGATCCCATGTATGTAATCACACACACCACATTAAAATGTAATGTGTGCATGGAACATTGCAAGGAGAGACAGCCAGGAGAGAGAGCGAGGAAAGATAGTGAGGAAACATAGCAAGCAGTGACAACTTGTGTTCCTGATTCAGGGCCATACACTGCAAAACTTGGTAAATGAGCCAAAGCACAAAGAGAGGAATTTATCAACACAGGAGCAGAGAAAATCTGGAGCAGCTGTGCATGGCAACCAATCAGCATCCACCTTTCTTTTTCAAAGCTCAACTCAACAAACTGAAGAGAAAAGCTGATTGGTTGCCATTGGCAACTGCTTCAGATATGGTCTGCTCCAGTTTCGATAAATTACCCCCCAAATGTCTGAAAAGTCACAAATTGTTTGCTGAGATTTATTTTTGTTTTTTAGTTACCCATGTCCGCCAGCAATGTAAAAGAAGTATTCTCACTGACTAGCAGTGTAACAGAGATATTCAAATGACCAGCAATGTAACAGAGGTATTCACAATGACCGCCACTGTAACGGAGATATACACAATGGCCAGCAATGTAACGGAGATATTCACAATGACCGCCACTATAACGGAGATATTCACAATGACTGCCACTATAACAGAGATATTCACAATGACCAGCAATATAACAGAGATATTCACAATGACCGCCACTGTAACGGTGATATTCACAATGACCGCCACTGTAACAGAGATATTCACAATGACCATACAGGAAGGAGAGAGGTAGCTCACTAGTACCAAGAGCCAGCTGCTATACCAAGCGAATGGGTTCCGGCTGGTGTGACACAAGCCGAGATGCAGAGGAAGCAGGATAAAATAATTAAAAACCAGGATGTCCGGGTTGGCAACTATGTGAGACTTGTAGTTCCACCACCATTGCCACAATTCAGCCTTAGGTGTTGCAGAACTACAAGCTCCAGCATAAATTAATGAACCTGCCATGTCTTGCAGGATCTGCTCTGGAGCTCTTTGTGCCTCCAGAGCAAACAGGCAACTACAGGTCTGTGTTTTTTGATAAGATAGCCTTGTAGTGAGGGGGGTGGGGTATTCTTACCTTGCAGGTGCTGATGCTAGCACTGTCTGGCTATGAGGCAGATGCTGTAGGGGGCGGCTGAGGATCAGAAGAGAAGGAGGAGATAGCTCTGGGAACAGTCCAAGCAGGCTGGGGGGGACGCACACAGGGAGATATCACCTGCAGTGACGGACGAGCAGCGGGCGAGCACCTGCGGCATATGATTTATTCATACTGCAGCCCTGCTCATTACAGAGAAGAAGCCAGCACCGGCGGCAATCTCCCTGTCTGCGGGCCCAAAAGTACCCGGTCCGCGGTGAGGTACTTTGAGGCCGCTGCTCTACAGCTTGGAATCAGTGGTAGAGTGCCAGGGCCCAGCTGCAGCTCTGAGCCTGGTAGATCTGCCACTGACTCCAAGTTGTAGAGAGACTACCAATCTAAGCAATTCATTATACAGCAATGCAGAATACCACCAACTATAGAGGACTGCAAATCTCAGTAATACATCACACAGCAATGAATAAAACCATTAGCTATAGAGGACTACAAATCCCAGGAATAAATTATACAGCAATGTGGAATAATACCAACAACTATAGAAGACTACATATCCCAGCAGAAAAATTACACAGCAAAGCAGAATACCGCCACCTATAGAGGACTGGGCTAGGTATGCAGGCTCTGGGTTGTCAGTGTAGGTCCTGGGTGTTCAGTGCGGGCTTTGGATGGCCAGTGTGGGCTCTGGGTGGTCTGTGTGGGCTCAGGGTGGTCTGTGTGGCCTCTGGGTGGTCAGTGCAGGCTCTGAGTGGTCAGTGCTCCCCAGGTATGCCAGAAGTGACGGGGTGCGGCTCTCTATTCAGGCGGTGATCGGCCACAATTAGGCAGCAGTGGCTCTCTATTTAGGCATTCTAGAGGGCCGATCACTTGGGCCTCTCAGGGTCCTAGGGAGAGCGAACGGCCCTCTAATATGCCTGAATAGAGGGCCGCCGCTGCCTGATTGCAGCCAGTCACCAACTCAATGTTAATCTGGCCCTGAAAGGATGTATGCTCCAGCATGCAGATATACACCAGCTGATATACCTAAAAGGAAGATCACTTACAGTAACCCCCACTGAAAGCAGTCCAATTGTTTTCAGGGCCTATTTCCTAGAAAGTTTTACAGAACACTTTTTCTCTTCAGTGGTCATAAACAGTAATTTTCTTATAAAAAATGATTGATTTCTCCAGTCTATTCCATATCAAGTCTTGGACTTGATGAGTGGTTGAAAGACCACCATACTAGAAAACAAAACAGTTATAGTATATGAGTGCTGACTGCCTGCATACTGCTACTGTACAGCCTCTTCTCACAGGGTTAACTGACTTTTTTTGTTTGTTTTGGTTTGTAGCCCTCAACGGGCCTTATGAATCCAACTGCACTGTGGGTATGTGGTGTCTGTATACTAACTTACTGGAAATGTATGACTAAGTATAATATGTATACTTGCATTCTTTTTGTGTCTTGGTAACCTAAACTCTCGCTCCTAGATGCCTCTTGCAGCTACAGAGCATACACACAGTATTCATAATATTTATGCATATTATTTATTGTGGACATTTAGACTCCTTTCACATGTGTGTTCTGTCTGTCCATTTTTCAGCCCCCCTTTTGCAGATGGAAAATGAACAGTAATGTATTCCAGTACGGGTATGGATGTATAGTGATGTCCATCCCTTTACATCAGTATATATCTATGCCCATAAAGATCCATGATAAGAAAAAAAAAATGGTTTTCATCATTTTCAGTTTTTATGCAGGCTTATGGATGTAAACTAATGTCATCAGTATATGTCGGTTCAATAAAAGTCCAGTTTTTGAAATAGAAACTGAATTTCAACATTTGTAATTGATATATGACCCGGGATAAGAGGGAATGTACAGGATGAATTTGATCTCCATCCTTTTATTCTGGGAAGGTGTTAGGATGCTTAGAGTTGTCTCCCATGAGACTCTTTTTCAACTCTCCCATGAGAGGCCAGGGCTATGGGACATCTCTTGCAAACAATACACTGATGGTGTGGAGAAGGAGAAGCTGTGGCAGGGAAGGAGAATCTGTGGCAGGAGGTATTCCATGCTGTAACCCCAACCCTCAAACAGGACAACACTGAGGCAGAAGCCGCTGTCCCTTGTCTCTCCCTACTGTAGCAACTCCTTCTAGTTCTTCCAGTTCCTCTTAACTTCCTTCCCAATACTCATCCTTCCCTTCTACCCCTGCTCTATGTCAAAACCTATAAATCAATGTCTCTGTTATATTATTAGATAAGCAGCAGCCTTTCCCCTGGTTCTTCTCCTTATTCTCAAAAACTATAATCAGAAAAGTTTATTCATTAATTGCGGGTTCCAATATATGGTCTATAGACTCTTATGTACTTGCGGGAAGCTGTATGTTGGCAGAACATCACGTACATTAAGAATAAAATTTGGTAGCATAAAAGAAACATCATAAATAGGCAATATTTAGTACCCTGACATTTTCTCAAACATCATAATGCAATTCCCACAGTGATGCGAGTATTTGGCATTTTGGAGAGTGTTTCAGACCTAAATGATGAGGGCAGTAGGTTTGGGAAATTACGTTCCAGAGAGACCTATTTGATCTATAGGCTTAAGAGTATGGTTCCTGGAGGTTTACATGAGAGTTTGGAAATATCTTCAGTCATACAAAGATGTATGTGAATTTCTAAGCATAATTTCAATATATGGCACAGTACACATCTAATGTATCATTTATATTGTTTTGCGGCTTTATTGTCTCTGTAATTTATATATTACATATTTTATCGAAATAAAGTCTTAGTCCCAGCACTAATGGAGCCTCAGTGGGTTCCATACCTGAGAAGCCTCCGCAGCTGCGATCCCCACTACTACAGTCCATTCAGGCGTTACAGAAGGCTGCTCCTCACAAGGATCAGGGATTACATTTTTTATGTATAGTTCAACTCTGTATTACCCTTTAGTTTGTTTATGATCTTTTTTTCTGATACAATATGTATGATCATTGTATATATTTTATTAATTTTGTTTAAGTCTTAACTTATAGAGTATAGTCATAAAGTTATGAGGAATAACATTACATATTATTTATATTTAATAGGATACCATGATTTTGATAGTTTTAATGTACCTTTTTATTCATTTTAATTAGTGGTATTTTTTCCAGTATAATAAATGTCCCTGTTTTTATTTGCCTTATTTGTGCCCCACAGCCTTTCACTGTTTCACTTTAGTGTATTTGAATTGTTTTATTCATTTTACCCTTTTTTGGGGGGGGAGGGGGGGTGTGTCCTGGCTCTGTTTTATGGTTGGCCAATCAGCACTATTGATAGTTGCCATGCCAATGATTTGAGCCTTTGTGGTGTGCCGCCTGTCAGGGGCATAACATATTGTGTCACTTCCGGTCTGACAGCACTTCCTGTCTGACATCACCTCCTGCCTGTGATTGGCTGCTGGGAGTGCTTATACAATGGTTGGTACCCAGCTCTGATGAATGGGGCTTGCCCCTAAAACATGTAAGCACTAAACTGCATCACTGCATGTGGTTAAGCTGTCCAATTGAGTTCTGTGGGAAAGATCTTGGAGGGCTTGATTGGTGTTGTTTATGCCCATGTCCTCATCATATATGTGAGTACCATTATCCATTTTAAGTTTTCTTCAATAGATGTAAGGAGGTAAGATGCATCACTTCCTGTCTGATGGCACACCCTATCTGACATCACTTCCAGTCTTATATAACTTCTGGTTTTGTGATAATCTGAGATCATGCGATTGGCTGCTGTAGGTACTTATACTATGGCCTGCAGGTTAGTACCCAGCTCTGATGGAGGGGGCTTGCCCCTAAGACCTGTAAGCACTAAACTGCATCATTGGCAAATCCATTGATGGTGGATTACTAGGTGTGGTTATTCTGTCCAATTGAGTTCTGTGGGAAAGATCTTGGAGGGCTTGATTGGTGTTGTTTATGCCAATGTCCTCATCATATATGTGAGTACCATTATCCATTTTTAGATTTCTTCAATATGTAAGGAGGTAATATATGTAAGGAGGTAATATGCAACGTTCTGTTACTGTTCTACCAGTATGCTAGTGCCAGATTGTTATCAAAAGGTCTGAATGAATACAAAAATATTGAATTGATGACAGGAAAGCTTGAATATGTGTGTGTGGGGCCAAATTGGTTTTAAGCAACCAACAGTGTTGTTTTAAGCAAACTTATGAAAGGCAGGCTCTATTACATATTAGTCATGATGGTGCCTCAAAGACTCAGGCATTCTAATAGTCACTACAAAAGGCTCTATATATCTGGTTTAGTTTATTAACTAGTAGTAGTATGTATTACCAAAGCAGGCAT